TTTGGAGTGTGCAGCTCCTGTTTAGTGAGGTCTTGTGTCCCTGTCCCCACTCACAGTGTTCCCATTCCGTTCCAGATTGATGAAGATCCAAGCCTTGTTCCAGAAGCAATACAAGGCGGAACATTTGGTTTCAATTCATCTGCCAATGTACCAGCAGAAGGGTTCCAGTTTTAGAGTGGTATTTTGGAAGTTAGGTACAATGCAGCACTGAATAAAACAAAAAAAAAAAGGTTTGATCCATCAATCTTGGCTCATGGGATCCGCTGCTGCATTAAATCGGGAAAGCAAATGTGAAGATTTCATTTGGAATCACAGAAAAGCCCAAATGAAGTCAAGATGGCGAGTGGGTGCGAGTGAGAATGAGTGGCAAAATGTAATGAAAAACTTCACACTGAATGCTTATTTAGATTGTTCAAAGAAAAAAAGGGCTACAGGTCACAGATCTTCAGTGCCTGAGACGGAACACCGACTTCCTAGAGCAATTGGGGGAAATGCAGTATATCATCATCAAGCCTCGTAAGCATAAGAGAATAGGATGCCCACATAAGTCCAAGAGAATGAGCCCAGGCCTTGCTATGAAGCACCGTGTGAATGGACACCGTTGAGTGAATGTCTGGACTCGCTGCCAGGCTGGATCCCAGCGGGGGCTCCGGGCTGGATCCCAGCGGGGGCTCCGGGCTGGATCCCAGCGGGGGCTCCGGGCCAGCGCCGGGCCTGCCGTGTGATGAGAGAGTGGGTGTGATGCTGTCTGTGAGCGCATGGAGCTTGAGTCGCCTTCAGGGGGCTGGAACAACCTAACCCATCCGACTTGGAGTGTCACCTTACACTGGACACCAGACCGGTTTAGCAGCAGACTCTGGTTTACTCCTGCAGCCTGTGTTTCTCTTGTTTTGTTTTGTTTTGTTTCCTTTATTTTTTTTTTCTCCCCTCTTTTATTTTTTTTTTTCTTTCGAGTTATTTTTAATTTCTTTCCTGTACGGCTTCTTTTTAGTTTGTTTGTAAAGTCAGAATTTCAGGAAGGCTTCCCTGTGCATTTGCACCAGATGAATGTTTGATGTTATGAAAAGCTTTTCCATATCATCAAAACTAATTTGTAGATTTTTGCATGGAAAAAAAAAAAAATCATTCATTTCCCTTCAAACTAGACTGTGTTGCAGTACACAAGTTGCCATAATAGTAGAAAGCAGTAAAATGTGGTAATAAAAAATCTCATCCTTTTCATTTTCAAAGATAACATGAAGACCTTTGCATGTGGTAATCTACAGCATAGTTCATTTTTAGATTTTGTTGAGTCCTGTAACCAAAATGTTTCTGTTGTGGTAGGATACCGTGCTGTGTTTCAATGTTACTTGTTTTCAAACTTTGTTTTCTATGAAAATGATATGGAAACGTCTAAAAATTGAAATTTGGTGCATATGTACTGCCGAATAAAGACCGAGAAAAGAGGTGTGAATAGATGTACAAATCAAGTCATGGTTTGAACACCTTTAATATGCCTAATCCAATTGTTTTAGACTCTTTTTATCTTAGATGTAGGCAGCCATGAACAATCTATTTTGAGCCACTTTAGAGAGAAAACTTTGTATTTTTAAAACTTGCACAAAAAGGATGCAAGTGTTTTTATAATTGGAGGAATGCCTCAGTTTTGAGGTCCTGCACACTAAATTCAAGGTGAGGTTACAAATTTGTACAAACTGAACTCTTTATAAGGTGGCTCATTGTAGGAAATGCTGTGCCTTCCCCTTTGAGCACAAGTGTTGCATGAACAACAGTTTGCTATAATAAATAAAACATACCAGATTAGCCACCATTAGCATCTATATCTACCTTGTGTTTTAAAAATCAACTGGTAATTCTGAAACACTGTAGAATGGATAAAGATTATTTTGTGATCATAACTCTTTGTTGGACTAGAGTATTTTTGCAGCATTCCTTGTCATCAGAAACATGGTTAAAAGTTTAAAACTAGAAGCAGCGGAAACTAGCTTGTGAATTTATCCAAGTAGAGTGCAGGCTAGGCTGTCTTGGGGAAAATAAACATTAAAACTTGCAATTCTCGTGCTTTGGGTGCTTCTTTCTCTAATACATTCATTTTTCATCAAAAGGTGCAGAGATTGTTTGAAGAAAGTGGCTTCCCGAGTCTCTGGCGTGAGGTTTTTACCTGCCAAAGGTCCGTGTGTGGTGTGGAGGCACGTCATTATTTTGGTATAAATCCTAAAAAATAACTGATTTACTTAATTATGTATTCACTAATAAATTAGGGATGTTTTAATGTTAAATGAAGGGAAACAAAATCCTTTTTAAGGAAAATTCCACTCAGTAAATTACCGTCTTCCCACTAAACCACCTTTGTGGAGGATGTGCTGTAGAAAATCGCTTTATTAGAATCTTTTCTTGTTGGGGGAAGGGGAGAACAGATGTTTGTGGCAACTTTACTGAACTTTCTGAGCAGCTTTCTTAAACAAAAACCCATCAGAACACTGGCAAGGTCTGTATTTACTGCCCAAAAATGCTTTTTTTTGGCACTTCCCTGATGTAATATAATTACAGAAAATTACCTTAAGCTGGTGCTCTTCAGGCTTTTTGCCTTTTTTCGTGGGTTTTTAAGTGAAAAATTCTCCTGCCCTGCTTCCCAGCAGGCCCTGTCACTTGTTGGTTCACCAGAATATGGATAACTGAAATATTCCAGCCTCCACAGGGTGGCACTGCTGGAGTTCTTTGGGAGCAAAACTGAAACCACTTTGTCCGGTGCCTTTTTTTTTCCCCAAAGTTGCAGTTTGTGGTAATGGAATTAAATACTTTGTTGGAGAAAGGGAGTTGCTTGGGAATCTTGGATATAAACAGTAAATAACTTGGATTGCCTTTAGGAATATTGATCATATTGAGGCTGGATAATTATCAACTCTTCCTGTGTTTTGGAGTAAAAAATTCTTGTTTCAGCTGAACTTAGGGTAGCAAATATCTAGAAAAAGATTTAAAAATATTAAAAGGACAACAATTAATCCATAAATAATCCATAATGCCAGGTAGGATTTTTATTCCCAAGGACCAGCGTTGCTGGACCAAATAAGTGCCCTGGAATTTTGGGATCTGAGAAGAATATGATGCTGAATGGAAAGGGGTAGCTTGAGAGAGATTGACCCTCTTTCTCTCCCACTGCTGGAAGTGGAATTTTCTCTGGTTGTGTGAAGCCTTTCAGTATTTCAGAGCCATTTCCTGGATCATGGAGCCCTGGACAGACCTATTTCCCATCCTCTGGTGGATCACAGGCATTCCCACTGAGCTGTGAACTGCTCTGGTAGTGGAACAGGTTGGTCTGTTTGAAAATAATAATTTATGGATAGGATGTCATTCTCTTAAAAGGAAATACTGGCTAAGGCAGCTTTATAACTTAAGAATGTCTTCATATTGATACCTGTAGATTTTTGCCACTTTAACTATAAGTGTTTCCTCATCTCTGCATGTCACCAAATTCCTGGCAGGAAAGCTGGTCCTGAGGCTGGGAGCAATTAGAGAAGTCCTGCATCTGGATCAAATAGACTTTGTGAGAGGAAACTTAGTAGCAGGAAACGTGTAAAGTTACAAACTCTAACATTTTTAGCTGCTGCTGGAGTGAAAAATGGCACAAAGAATACATTAAAACAAGGTAATATTGGTTGATTATCTACAGAAAAGTGATTGAAAACCTAATTTCCCTAAAGGAATTCCCATTTTTGCTTGTAAATCCATTCTAAATGGGGGTCCTGTATTTGTTCTGCTGGTTTGATGTGCTCCAAAGCTGAGGAAGAGCTTTCATTAAAAAAGAGTTGTCATTAAAACTGTTGTACGTAAATTCCTTGGATGTACTTTTAAATTAGAGTGCTGAGGAGCTGGAGAAGCATCTTTGGAGAACTATTAAATAGATTTAGACCTTGCTGAGCGTGGGGTGGGAGAGAGAGGGGAGTGGTACAATACCATGGACAGCTACAGACTTGTCATCTGAAAAATAGAAAAATATGGTTGTCTTGAATATATGGAGAAGAGGAACCAGTAATTATAGTTCAGTGTTGAAAGCAAAGGGGGAATTTCCCCAGTTTACTCCAAACTCTAAAAAACTAAAAGATACACTGATTATTTACGTAGCAAAGTAGGAAAATAGTAACTATTGCTAGCTGTGGATTGCTTGTATTTTATCTCATTCCAAGCAAAAAAAGAAAATATATACATCTTGCACCTGCAGTCTTGTATGAGCCTCTTTGATTTATTTTTAATCCCTTTTCCTCCCCTGCCCACTTTAGAAGCAAAAATAACAATTTTACCAAGCTCCCTCCACAGGCTTTGTGTTGAAAGCCAGTGTACACAGAGCCAGGATTACAGGGAATGTGTAATTAGAAACTGTAATTAACAGCCAATAGATATTTTGTAATGAAAGTCAGAAACAATGAGAGTGGAAAAATGTGTGGTAAACCTATGGCAGGTAGTTTGTTAGAGGATGAGATTTTTTTATTAGCTAAAACATAATTCCATATATTTCCCAGATATTTGTATAAGGTCCTCTAAATACCAGTTTAACATGTTTAGGTGAGTTTTGGGTGGTTTATTATGATCTACATGACAACATGAAATGAATTTCATTTCTCTTTCAAGTTCACTGTGAATGCAGCAGCTGAGAATGACTTTACAGTTGAGTTCAAATGAATTGGAAATAAACCCTTGGCCATTCCCAGGGCTGGGGCAGCCACAGCTCCTCTGGGCAAACTGTGCCAGGGCCTCCCCACCCTCGCAGGGAAGGATTCCTTCCCAATATCCAGTATAAACCTACTGTCGGTCAGTTTAAATCCATTCCCTTTGTCCTGTTGCTCCAGGCCCTTGTCAAAAGTGCTTTATAATAATCTTCAGTAGCCAAAGCAGGTAGACGTGCTTCAATTTAAATATGCATTAATTTTTATTTCTGTGGTTAGCAGCTCCAGAAGGTCGGGTCCTGCACCCCCAAAGCAGGAGGTTTCACGGCTCCTGGTTTGCGCTTCGGGGTGAATTTGTCCTCAGATGGTGAAGGGGAATGGGGTCGGTGATTGTGGTTGCAGAGGAGAGCAGGACGGAGCTCCCTGTGGGTGCCAGCTGTGCCCGGGGCACGGGTTTGCCACGGGGTGCTCCGTAAGGTTCCATCACCCCTCAGCCCTTGTATCGCTCCGTGATTATGATGCTGGCACCCAGGGCGCCATTCCCGGTGAGCATCCTCCTTCCCCCTGCCTGGACAGTCCATCCTGGTCCCTCACACAACAACAACAACAACAACAACAACAACAACAACAACAACAACCCCCTGGTTCCTGCCAGCTCCGGCGGCCGAGGGACCCTGCGGGGACGCGGTTCCCCGTTGTGGGGCCGCGTCCTCCCCGCCCTGCCTCGGTGCCTGCCCTCGCTCCGTGCCCGCCCTGCCTCGGTGCTGCCCGCCCTGCCTCGGTGCCCGCCCTGCCTCGGTGCCTGCCCTCGCTCCGTGCCCGCCCTGCCTCGGTGCCTGCCCTCGCTCCGTGCCCGCCCTGCCTCGGTGCTGCCCTCGCTCCGTGCCCGCCCTGCCTCGGTGCTGCCCTCGCCCCGTCCCCGCCCTCAGCTCCGCCCGCTCCCTCCCGCCGTTTACATTCAAACTCCGCGGCCGTTACGGCGCGCGGGGCGGCGGGAGCGGTTCTGTCCCGCTGTGGAACCCGGCGGGAGCTGCTCCCTTGTCCCGTGTGGAGACCCCTGCTCCCCGTGTGGAGCCCCCTGCTCCCCGTGGAGCCCCGGCGGGAGCGGCTCCGTCCCGTCCCGTTGCAGAGCCCGGCGGGAGCGGCTCCCTCGCCCCGCGGCGCTGCCCGGGTGGGTGCCGGGGGGTCCCGCGCCCTCAGGGCTCCCTCTCTCCGTGAGGGCTCGGTGCGGGCCGGCTGTGTGAGCGCTGTGTGAGCGCTGCCCTCCCGCGGGCCCGCCCGCTCCCGTGCCGTGTTTCAGCTCGTTCTTATCCGTGTGACCTCGGCGAGCTCCAGGTGTTGATCCCATCGTTTCCCGGTTACTCCTTCAGGGACGGTCCCATCGTTGCCGGTCTGGGAGCTGCGGCTGCGGCAGGAGGGACCCTGCGGGGGACGCAGGTAAAGTGTGTTCACCCTTCACCTCCGCTGGTGCTGGGAGGGGAATGACGGATAAATGCTCAAAAACCAGGAGCTTTGACAAGAGTTACAAGGGGTGGAGGGGGGATCGAGCACGGAAAGAAAGGATGGAGGGGGATATAGAACCACAGTTGGAAAGGACCCACAGGGGATCATCGATCCCTGGCGCGGGTTTTTCTGCTTTCTCCCCGCTTTCCTGAAGTTTGTTTTTTAAAATCGCCAGCACGAGTTCCCGCTGTAAACTTTTTAATCGAAATTACGGTCTTGGAAAAATTTCTGAGATTGAGGTGGAGCGCGGAAGTTTCCGGCTGAGTTAAAATGCTGTGGGTTCCATGCAAACCAAGGCTGGGACCGAATTCTTTTTGTAACATAAACGACACATGATATGAGAGAGATCTGTGAAACGGCCCGGCTCGCTCTCAGGAGTCAGAGATTCCTTCGGGGCTCACCAGTGACTGCGATTCCAGCGCGAATTTGGAGTTTTTGAATGTGGTAACTTGTGTCGAGTTGTGTCAGAGGAGGAGCCAGTGCAGGGACTGACAGCAGGGAACTCAGGTCCCTTTGACAGGGAAACTACACGGCTGTGTTCACCTCCTTCAGGTCATTAAAAACCCCAAAACAGCGGGGAAAAAAACCCCAAAAAGTGTAAAACTGTGCCAGTGGTGTAGTAGCTGTGGTAGGAGCAGGGGCCGGGGCAGAACATCCCAGGCTGAGAATTGCTGTGACTTGTGCTGTGGGATAGAGCAGCAGCACGGCTGGAATGGGCTGGAATAGGGAGGTTTAGGGCTGTTTGTGATTCCTGGTGGTTTTATGTTTTGTTCCTTTACCAGGAAGGTGATTTATGAATGGAAAACACTGTAATGTCATTCGATCTCTGTTTCTTGCACAACGTAAACTTGAGCTTCTACAATAGTGATGAAGAGGATTTCATGGATCTGTGTGGGATAGGGAATGGGCATTTCTGCGTGGATTTGGTTCAAGTTCAGCACATTTTGAAGTTGAGTGTTGCAGTCCTTCAGGAGAGAGCAGAGGTTTCCTTTGCTGGCAGGAGGAGGAGCAGCTCCCACTCCTGGGGGTGCCCCTTGGAACGGGCTGTTATCCAGTGCCAAATTCACCTTTTAAAGTCCTCTGGAGTAGAATGGGGTGTGGGGGATTGTCCTATAAAGCAGTTATTTATCCACCTAAACACTGATGTATGCTGTGTTCCACTGTTTGTATATTTGCATATAAAAACATATATAATTTTTTCTAAACAACCTCTGGCATAGTGAGCTGGAGGAGCAGGAGATCTCTGGGAACACAGTTATCAAGGAATGCACCACATTCCTGTGATCCGCTTCACTGGACGCTTTGGCACACACCCCATCCTCCAGCTCTGCTGCCCTCACGACATGTTTTCACCTCTCTACAACACCCCTAATTAGAGGAGGATAAAATCCCAGTCCTTAGCAGGCATCCCATTGCTGGGAGGTTTCCAAAACTGGCACTTTTGAATTTTAAAATACCTCCTAGTTTGTGATTTGTTTATGCTGGGGGAACTCTTACAATAAATCTATATATTTATTACTATACATGTGGCACACGTATTTGCTGCCACAGTTGTTTGGAACATGCCAGGAAAAGTATCTGCTCTGTGCAGGAAAGCATTTCCCAGCTTCCTGCTGCTGCTTTTCTTTTCCTAGAAAAGTTATTTTCTTTCTCTTTGCTTAACTCTGTGATTTTGGGCCTTCTCTGTATTTTCCAACTGCTGTTCCCAGTCTCTGTTTCCAATAGTCTGCAGGTGAACAGCAGTGGAAATAAATCAATATATGGGTATTTCCTCTGTGCTGCCAGTGCTGGGTGAAATTTTGGGAATTCTAAATCTTTTAGTTCCTTGCTACAACTCCTGGTAATTGTCTAGAACAAATTAAGGAGACACAGGGTGCTTTAGAAAAATCACCACTGACATTCCAAATCCTGTTTGGAAACTGAGGAATAATAAATAAAAAATAAAAAGGAGTAATAAAAGAGCTGGAGGTGCCCAAGTTAGTGATTTTAAACGAGGAGATTTTCTAAAAATTATTATTAATTCCATATATATAAGAGAAAATAGTGAATATCTAACTAAGGATTCTTTTTTTTCTAACCATGAGAAAAAAATATAACTTATTTTTCCTTTGATTTCAGTGGAAGTGACACTCCTAAGATTCATAGTAAGTTTATTTATATATATATAAAAATAAAATAAAACCTTTAAATGTAGTTCCTATGGGAATTAATTACAAAAAATAATTATCTAGACAGTGGAATAGATTTGTTGCTCAGCTCCCTTCGTTGTTGTCACATTTCTTTAGTTCCAGTGTCTGAAGCATCACTTAAAAACATGGAATTAATAACCCAGTGTTGCCACAGTGGCTGACTGGAAAAGCTGGGAAATAAAGGCCTGTGGCTTCCCAGTGAAAAGAGGAATAACCTCATGGCCTTTATTTAGTAAAAAATAGATTTAGTGTCATTGTCATGAAGGTCTTTTGTTAAATGTTTGTTGGACCTGATCTAAATTCTCTTTACGGAGGAGAATGCAGCAGTTGGTTATAAATGCTGACACTCTTTGTCATTCTGCTTCTAAAGGGCAGTTCTTAGGAATTATATGGAATTATGTCTCCCTCTGGGAGATTTTCTCCCAGCTGTTGTCAAGGTCTCCTTTTAAAAAGAATTCAAAGAAGTGAACCAACATTTTGTGATAATTTACCTGAAAGTGTGCTGCATGGATTTTTTTAATTATTCTTTTTTCTTAGAGCTGAATTAATCAGACTGTGTTTTGAATATAAAGTTGACTTAACAACATACAGATTGAATTGGCTGATCTGGGTGATGATAGATTAAAAATAAACTAATAAATTAAAGTTTTTAGTTGATGTTTTGGCATTGTTTCACCCTAATTAAGCCCAGGGTGAGAGTCAGCAGCCCAGCACTGCCCTTTTGGACCCAACCCCAGCCAGTGAGATAAGCCAGGCTTATTTCTGTGCCACCAGAGCAGGTTTCTGTGCTCAGGGCTGATTTAACCCTCAGAGAACTGGGCTTTGGGTGTTCAGCTCCTGCCCTCCCTCACTGTGAGCCCTTCTCCAGGTTGTTGTTTGCAGATTTTGATTTAGACCCCAAACTGATGGGGTTTGATGCTGAAAACTCAGACGATTTCTTGTTGCAGTGCAGCAAAGCTAAAACTGGTGGAGGGGCAGGAAAACGTGGCACAAAGAGGAGGGAACTTGGTACCAATTCCCTCGTATTTTTAGCAGAATGGAAACAAAAAGCATGATTTATCAGGAAAACTGGCTTTAGTGTTACTGTTATTTGGGATTTAACACTGATTTCACTAAACTGGCAAAGAAAAAACATGAGGCAACATCACAAAGGATGGAAAGTGAAAGTTTTTGAGATTGGTGCTTAAAGTAACCCAGGAATAGCACACAAAAATCTAATCCTGGTAGTGGGGGTGTCTGTAAGGGCTGCTGAGTTGGATTGTTAGTGCCAGAACCTCCAGAGAGCTTCTAGTAAATGTGACTGTTTAATGCTCTAATGACTGTTTTGTGTTACAAAAGTAACATTTGAAGTGAGGGGAGAAAAAAAAGCGTCTGTACTTCTTGTTCTATTCTCATGTTGGAAGCGGTGGGAGAAATTGTTCATAATTCTGAGGTTATTTAGAAATTCTAGTTTTGCTTTTATCACTCTTTTCTGCTGTTTCCCACCATAAAAAACATCTAGTGGCAGATTCCTGCTTTCCCTGGCTTTTTAAGGCAGAGGTTGGATGTGGGTGCTCGCTTGGCTCCTGAGTGCAGCTCAGAATCTGCTGAAATCACTGAACTGTTCACTTTCATTATTATTTTGCCTTTTTTTTCCCCTTGGCAATGAACTGCCGAGGTGGGAATTCCTGCTCAGGAAGTGCCACGTTGGGGTCACTGCAGTGATTGTGGGAAGAGCTGAAGCCCTTTGTTTGTGTTTGCTTTCCCCGCGCAGGCCATGGAGCGGCTGGAGGAGGAGCTGACCTGTGCCGTTTGCTGCGGCATTTACCAGGATCCCCGGGTGCTTCCCTGCTCCCACACCTTCTGCAGGGAATGCCTGGAGGGGGTTCTCCAGCGCTCCGACACCTTCTCCATCCGGAGGCGCCTCAAGTGCCCCAACTGCCGGGCCCTGGTGGACATTCCCGCCGCCGGGCTGGAATCCCTGCCCATCAACTTCGCCCTCAAGGCCGTCATTGAGAAGTGCCGGCAGGAAGAGCCCTGGGATGTGGAGACGTGCCGGGAGCACCCCCGGCAGCCCCTCAACATTTACTGCCTGCTGGACAGGCAGCTGGTGTGCGGGCAGTGCCTCACCATAGGGCAGCACCACGGGCACCCCATCGGGGACCTGCACAGCGCCCACAGGAAGGCCAAGGAGGCCGCTGGAAAACTGCAGGAGCAGCTGCCGGAGAAATACTGGCGGGAGGTGCTGCTGTGCTACATGAAGCTGACGACGCAGAAATCCCAGTGGGAGAAGCTCCTGCGCAGCGAGAGGGACGTCGTGGGGCAGTACTTCAAAAAGCTCGGGGACACCTTGGAGCACAAGAAACAGGCTCTGCTGGGGGCTCTGGATGAGCTCAACAGGCGCTTCCTGCGGGAATACGAGCCCCTGCTGGAGGGTGTGAGCAAAATGAAGGTGGAGGAGATTGAGCTCAAGTACCTGAAATCCTCTATTCGGAAAGAGAAGTCCCCCCTGCTGTGCCTGGAGAAGCTGGAGGAGCTGAAGCAGCGGGTCAAGGCTCTGAGGGAGAAGGAACTGCCGGATGTGAAACCTCTGGAGATTTGTCCAAGGATGGAGGACCTGCTGAAGGACGTGTGGGCTAAAACCGAAATGGGTCAGATCGACAAGATCCCCCCTCCAAAACTGATGCTGGTTCCCAGGAGGAAACAGTGCAGCAAATGCCCTGGGAAGGAAACCGTGGAAGGCAGCAAGTGGGTGTGTGCCCTGAGCCTGCCCCCCGTGAGCCTGCCCCCCGTGCTGCTGCTGCTGCTGCTGCTGGGCCTGGCGGGCACCGCCCTCGCCCTGCACAGGGCACTGCCCCCCGGGGCCATCCAGGCTGCTCCCACATGGATCTCGGAATTCCTGCTCCAGCTCTATCAGCATTCCTGCTCCCACCTGCAGAAGGCCGTGGATGGGCTGTGCCAGCCATTCACCTCCCTGATGGGGTTCTGCAGGAGAATTGTCCCCTTTGACTGCTTCCATGAGTAGGTGATGACCCAGTGCAGGAATCCAGGATTAGTTTTGATTTCCACCGAAAAGCTGAATTATTAAAGCTCTACACTTTTCCCTTCTATTCCCGTATCCTTCCTTTTCTCTAGTGCCTGGATTTCCTCTGAGCTAAGTCTTAGTGAAGTAAACATTTGCACCAAAAAGGGCTCTCTGTCCCACTGAGGTGTTTGTTCCAGCCGGGATCCAGGCAGGACCAGCAGCTGGAACCAGCTCACACGTGGGAATGTGAGTCTCAGCTCTGAAAACTCCTTCAACATGGACTCTATTTTTAGTAATGTCTTCTGAAATTGTTTTTTAATACAAACATGACAGGTTATCAGGACCCCTCAGCTGCAAAGGGCCGGCACTGCCTCTCATGTGCAAGAAACTCCCTTTCTGTGCTTCCTGGCCTGTGACCGTGTTGGAACAGAGACATTTGTGCTCTTTGAGGTCTGTGCTCGTGGCCCTGGCGCTCAGTTTTTGGTTCTGGGTAGAGTGAAGGACACAATTTCACCCTTTTTGTAATTTTTTTTTAATCCTGTGTGTAATAACTTTGTGTGTTTCCCATGTTCCTTCTCTCCCATCCTCCTTGAACTCGGGGTTTTGAACCCCAAACTTGCCCTCCCAAATCCCACCTGCTGCCAGTTCATGCAAGGTCAGTCCTCAGAGGTGACACTGTTACATTCCTTAAGCCTAAAGTTGATCCCAGTCCTGCTATCCCAGTGTTGACAAAGCCTGAGTCCAGCCCAGGTGCAGCTTGGGGGGTGTGGAGTGTCCCAGGGGGAGGAGCAGGAGGACACTGGGATGGGAGCTGTGCCTGGAATTTGTTCCTGAGTTTTTCTGTCATCTTTCAGAGTTTCAGTGGCAAATCCCACCCATCCCACTGCTCAGCTTTGGAAAGGTGTTCCAGGTGTGTGCTGGGACTGTGTAAGTGCTCTCATACCAATTCCCCAGTAAAACTGGCAATTTGGTTTTGTCCTGAGCCCTGCTGGGAGGCTGCACTTGACACATCAGTCTCCAATCCTGATGGTCTGTTCACTGCCCCATGAGGCTGCATTTCCTACCCCCCTTCCTATCTTTTATTTTCCTTTTTAAAAGAATTTCTAATACAATCTTATTTTTCATGACAGGAATTTAAAGTGCCTTTACCGCTGACTGACACCTGTAACACTCCCACTGCACTGTTATTTTCCGAGGTTTGCCTACAAATAAAGCCTGTTCTTACAGCAGGACTGGCCATCACATCACCTTCCTTCCCCCACTGCAGACCCTCCCCTGATCCCTCACGGAGAGGGGAGGAGCAGGGAGTTGTCTCCAGAGGGGCTCCAGCCCTCAGAGCATCTCCTGCAGCTCCACATCCTTCCTGAGCTGGGGATCCCAGAGCTGGAGGCAGCTCTGGAGGTGGCTGTTCCCACTCCCTCCCTGGGCCTTGGCCCAGCTTCCAGCAGGATCTGCTCCCTGCTCTTCCCAGGACATGGGAGGCTCACAGGGAGGTAGTTCCAGGGTCCTCCTGTTTCCCTGACATGGACTGAAATCTTACCTTTGCCCCCCTCAACGAGCTCCCCCCTTCCTCAGTTTTTACATGACAGTTTATCGAGGTGGGGTTTTATTAACAAAATGTACAAAACAAAATAAAAGTAGCTTAGACAGACCTAAAAAGCAGCAGCAGGGAGGGCACTTGGGCCCTCCTGGCTCTGGGGTCCCTCCTGGCTCTGGGGTCCCCCCTGGCTCTGGGCTCTCCCTTCCAGGGCAGCCAGTTCCTGCAGTCCCTTCAGAGCGATGCTTTTGGGGTTGGTGCCCACACTTTTCGTGGTGTTCTGGGTCTTGTAGATGCCGATGAGCCTGTCGGCGATCTCGAACATGTTGTTGCGCAGGGAGATGATGATGAACTGGGCGTTCTTGGTTTGCTCCTGAAACACAAAGGGCTTGTTAGTGCCCAGCATTCCCAAAGCTCCGTCCTGGTGGGAGCCCCGTGCCCAGGGGACAGGACTGAGGAGTCATCACCAGCCAGAGTTCCTGCTCCCATCCTCGTTCCAGGAATTCCACAAGGCTGGAGGGGGGTATTGCTCACTCACCTGGACTGTCAGAGCCAGGGTTGCTTTGAGAGTGACCAGGAAGATCAATTCCCGTGGATTTGAAGAGGGGAAAGCAAACCCTCTGCTAATGAGGACCAGCCTCAACCAACACTGGCTGTGTGACCCTGAGGCACAACAGGTAACAGTGTCTGAACTTGGTGATGCTTTAGAAACAAAACTGATTTTGTGCTTAAGAACCCACCAGTCTCAGGGTAAGTTCAGGGCTCTGAGCCCCTTTTCTCCAGGACAGAAGCATGGAATGGTTGGGGTTGGAAGGGACCTTAAAGCCCATCCAGTTCCACCCCTGCTGTGGGCAGGGACATCTTCCACAGACTAGGCTGCTCATGGAAGTTCAAATTGTGCACAAAATACAACCTACAGCTCTACATTAAGTTAAATTTGCATTTAAAAGCTAAACTCAGTACTAGGTTTTAACTGTCTGTGTCAGTCTAAACTGCAGCTGGAATTAAACCCCTTGGCTCAGCTGTGGGTGATGGACCCTCCTTTGTGGACACACTGTGGAAGCCAAGTTTAAACCTACAGCTGCAGGCAGGGAATTTCCAGGTGTTTCCCTAATTTAAAGTAGCTGATCCTAATCCTTGCCACCTGTTCCAAAAACTGGTGGTGACATTTGGGATAATTCTGAACATCCCAGGTTTAACTGGCAGCCACAACCGTAGCTGGAAGGGTTTGCTTTGCTTAAATATGGTGAGGGCGGGACTTTTAAAGGCAGGAAAAAACCTACTAATCAAGACAGATCAGAGACACTGATGGGACACAGCTCATGGGAATGAAATGGAAGTATAAATCCAACCTTGCCTGCTCCTGAGAGATCATGAGCTTGGATACATGGAGGCATCACTGAGAGCTCAATTAGTTGTGTATTCTCAGCTGACAGGAGCTGAGGGTTTGGGGGATTTTAAAGAGGAAACAGCACATGGAGATGTGGCACCTTTGGCAAATTCCAGCTCTCTTTAGACAACTTATGAAACAGGATTTGTAGGGAAAACACTCGTAAATCCTCTATTAGTCCCCTCACTTTGGGAAAGCATCAAACTTAGGAGCTTAAAAAAAACATGCAGAAAGCAAAATTCCAAGCCCTTTCTGGAAATCTGCTTCCTCCTGAGCTTCCCCTGAGAACTGTCCTTGCAGATTCAAACTGTGTTGTAGTTGTGCTGCCAGCCCGTGTGTCCTGGTGGGAAGGGAACAGGCAGAGAGGTGCCCCTGGGTACTCACGTAGATGTAAAAGGCCACGATGGAGACGTTTTTGAAGTCGAGGGCGGCGTCGATCTCGTCCATGAAGTACAGGGGGGTGGGTTTGTAGTGGTGCAGGGCAAACACCAGCGCCAGCGAGCTCAGCGTCTTCTCACCCCCCGACAGGTTAAAGATCTTCTTCCAGCTCTTCTTGGGAGGCCGAACGCTGCAAACAGGGAGGGGTTTCCTGACTTACTCGCCCAGCTGGGGTGTGGCTGAGCCCAACCTGCTGGAACGGGGCTGTCCTGGGAGCTGGGACACCTCCCAGCTCCTGGCAACTTCCTTCCCAAGTGCTCTTTAACTCCTAAATCATGAACACGCTCCTCAGAGTGTTTGTGGCACAACACATGACTGCCCCCATCCCCTGGGCAGATTTGGGAATTCAGCACTGGGAAATGAGGTCAAAGCTTTCCAGCTGCTGTTAGTTCCCCATTTCTCCAGGAGAAATAAATCCCAGACCTAAAAAGTTGTGAATTGTGCCAGTACCTTGCCAATGGTGAGCCTTCTTGGTTCACTGGTGATCAGTGAAATTCAACTTAAAAACAGGTTGAGAAAAGGAATATGACAATTAAGAAGTATTTTGACCAACCTGAACATGATTCCCTCGGAGAAGGGATCCAGACTGTCCACAAGCTCCAGCTCAGCATCCCCCCCCAGGGTGAGCATCTGGTAGTTCTCCTTGAGCTTGTTTGTGATGACATTGAACCCTGCCATGAACTCGTTCAGCCTCTGCTTCCTGAGCTCTTCAAAGGCCTGTCTGAAGTTGTCCCTCTCGTTGGTGATGTTGTCCAGCTCTCCCACGTGTTTCAGGTACAGGTCCTCCTGCAGGGAAACACAAACAGCACCACAGAAATGCAGTTAAAGAAGTGCCTCCTCGATTTACATTTTTAAACCACTTTTCCTACCATTTTCAAAATGCCTTTTTCAAGAATTTCAGGCTAACAGCCCTCAAACAAAAAACCCAAAATTATCCCTCTCTTCTCCTTTGCTGCTGAGGGAAAAATCATATTAAAATAAAAAGTATTTAACCTGATGGCTAGTCCACTATTATTGAATTGAGGAGAAAAAACTTTCAGTATTTTTTCTGTCTCAGCTGTGAAGACTTGACTCTAAATACAACACTGACAGGAGACTCAGGGAATGATTTAGGTTGGAAAGGACCTCCAAGATCATGAAGGAAGTTGCCTTCAGCTGATGGTCTGGAATACAAAAGGCTTAGGGAAGCTCCTAAAACAACTTGGTTGAGGATGAGCTGACAAACACTCAGGCTGGTAACAGGAATGGGAAAATCCCAGGGTTCCACTGCAATTCCCCAAAGGAAGAGGAGCAGGACTCCTTTTTGCTGGAATTCCCAGAGATGGGATGGCCCTGGTGAGGCTTTACCTTCTTCCTGTACTCAGCAATGGCCCCCAGGTTGGGTTTCATCTCGTGCCTCTGGGCCTCCAGCAGCGCGATCCTCTTGGTGATCCCGTCGGGATCCTGCAGCGCCTCCAGCTCCTGCTCACCCAGCACGGGCAGCTCCTCGGGGGGCTTGTCCTCGATGGGGTGCAGGGACAGCTTGGAGATCTGAAATGCAACAGCCATTACCAGGAATCTTTTCGAATCCTAACAGTTATCACTCTAAAATAAGTATTTTCTGTGTTGGTACATAGTGAAGCTCCTCCAAACACTCAAAGGTTCTTCACAACTCCCTTTAAATAGGATGTGAAAAACACAATAAATATCCTTTTACCCAGTTATCCTGTTCCTGCATAAACACCACTAAACTGTGAGCTGAAGAGGAGTTTTCTCCCAGATTATCTGTTTTAATGAGATGTTAATGTGCTCATCCTGTGAGATGAAGCTCTGGCTGCCCCTGAATCCCTGGAAGTGTCCAAGGCCATGTTGGACAGGGCTGGGACCTGGGATAGTGGAAGGTGTCCCTGCCCACGGCAGGGGTGGAATGAGATGAGCTTTAAGGTCCCTTCCCAACCCAAACCATCCCACAATTCCATGACTGAAGGTTTAGGACCTCAACCATTTCCCTACCTCTTTTTGCCAGTATTTAACCTTTCCCTGGTGGGCAGAGATGTGACTGTCAACTTGTTCAATTTTCAGTTTGATGCTCAGAGCTTCACTCTGAAGTTCATGTTCCTCATCCCGAATCCTTTCAATCTCCTGGAGCAAATTCTTCTTCTCCTCCTGCATTGCTGGCAAAGCTTCCTGGACAGAGATCACCAAAACAGAGCATTCATCAGTCACCTGCAAAAATGTCACCCCTCTCTTGGGTTGTGGGTTTGTTTTCACTGTGTTTATTTACACAGGGATTGATGCAAACAAACACACAGCCTTGGATTTATGAGCTGCTCCCTGAACTGTGGAGTGACTGAAAATAGGCTGCAGTTTATGTTTTCATTCCTGATCTGGATCAAACTACGATCTTGAGTCCTACACTCACACACTTTCAGCTAAAAGGCAGTTTTAGAGAAAGACAGGCTCAAAACCCAGCTGTATTTGGAAGAAGTTCAGCCATGCTGGTTGTTTTCTCTCCCTCACATCCAGAAATCCAGATGGGAAACTAAAATCCCACATAACTGGAAAAAAATCTATTTTTAAGCAAGTTTTAAATCCAATAATTTCCTTGGGGAAACCTGGTGTAAGTTGTTTTCTAATATTCAGCAAACTGGGTCAAGATAAATTTCCAGGTGAGTATAAAAAAATAAAAATACACCATTGCCATTCCTTGGAATGTCAGTCTGCAGCTGTACACCAACATTTGCATGGGATTGGGCTGTAAGTGGGATACAGTGAGGATGTCAGT